GGCTGAGAGACAGAAGGAATTCAGCACCAGAATGGGCAGGAAGAGAGGGTCCGGGAGCCAGCGGAGATGAATTCAGTTTTGAAAGATGATTCCCCAACGAGCCGTTTAGCGGTCTCTCTTAACGGGCAGATCCATCCCGTGTTGGCCTCCCAGGACCGCTGGTGCCAAAGTGAGCCAGAGAGGAGGGGGAGGAGGGGAGGTGCCTGCTGGGGGCCCCCAGCCCAGGGCTCCTGCAGGGTGCTGCAAAGGGGCAGGCCAGTGGCCTGGCCCGGGGTTAGGGACCCCTGCCTGGCACTCGCCCAGAGGGCCCAGTGCACCTGGTGGGGCAGAGCTGGGGGGCAGGGCAAGTCGGTGCCCCAGGACCCCCATCCCCCACCCTGGGTCTTGCTTTGCCCCAGGCAGGAAGATTTCCTTGTGGCCTTTGCATCCAGAAATGTGAGTGGCCTGAGTCCCGACTCTGCATGACTTCTGCTGGACATTTTTCTTTCCTGTGATCCCAGTGAGTTCATTTGTCCAAGGGAAGCTGCAGGCTCAGAAGGGATTATCACAGCGGCAGGCGGCCCCTGACCCTGGTTGGCATGTCACCTAGGGCTCCGGGAAGCCTCTGGCCACTCTGGGGCAAGCAGTGGGTCGCAGGAGACCTCTTTCTGCTTCCTGCTTTTCCCAAGGCCTCCTCTGCCCTGTCTCTTCCTCCCCTTCCTCCTCCTCAGGGAACCTCCCACATGTCAGGGGTGGCTTCCCCTATGGGGGCCTGTGTCCCTGTTTCTTGGCTAGGCTTCTGTTCTCAGATGGCCCTGGGCAGACTGAGTTCTGTGACACCTCGGGGTATACCTTCCACAGCCCCATTGTTTCTGATTGTCTCTGAGGCACCTGGTGCTAGGCAGCATTGAGCTCCGCTGGCCAGCTGAACAGGGGACAGCCTTCTGCTAGACCCCGGAGTGCTGGAAGCCGGTGGGCTCTGGGTGCCAGAATTTGCTTTTTGCTCCTTGTGCCCCAGAGGAGCAGGGGAGGGGGCCAAGAGAACAGCCGGGGTCCCTGAAAGTGCTTTGTCCTCGCTGGTCCTGTGCCCCCTGCCCCCTTCCCCTGGGGGAGGTCTGATGAGCCCGTAGGGCCCCCGCACAGGCCTCCCCACTGTCTGTGACTGGTTTTCCTGGTGGGCCTCTGGGGGAGACAAAGAGAAGAGGGGTGC